ACTGAGCTACTCGTAATCTCGAAACCTTAGTCATAAAGTAAAAATATGTGGAAGGTAATTGCATCCAAAGGCCAAATCTGCTCAGTTTTGGGTGACTTTAGCCTTCATTCAAGGTCTACAGAACATTACTGATTGCGAATATGATCAACATTTCACAATTGTAATTGAAAATGAATCATTTAGTTAAGCGGCAATGCCACAATAAAAATGTGATGTGGCAAACGCCTAGCCTATTTTGGAATTCACCTCTGCCCTGTGACTGACTGGCAATCGTGGACCGCATGACATAGGATTAGCAAGTCGCAATCATATGCTGAAGTAGCCGAGTTCGATTCCCATCGGAGAGGATGATGAGGCGAGGTGGAAACTGCAGTCGACTTCTGTTTGAAGAAGAATAAGTGGACTTCAATTGCACCATGGGGCCTATTCGTCCGATTGAGGGAACTTAAATGCTTATTCATGCTGGACGGATAGTCTTGAAATTCCACGCAATTTACAGACGATGTCAAAAGCACAAAAAATATCATCTGCCTTTCTTCCGGCTACTGAGCCTGTTGGCGTATTCGGAGCAAATGGTGTGTGTGTGTGTGTGTGTGTGTGTGTGTGGAACGACACGTCCACTTGTAGACCCGATCTGGTCGCTGGCGGCAAAAGCAAGAGATCGACCTTCCAATCGCTCACGGACCAAAGGAATTTGGTTCAAAATGAAGGTCCGATAAGGCAGAAATTCGAGTCCCGGCTCCGACCGTCTTGATGCGAATAGTCAGCCTCGTGGGGATCTTGGCGACCTGAATGACGCGGTAGTTCGGTGGGATTCGTCGTTCTTGTCCGAGTCCGACAGCCACTTGCGACTGCTCAGCGCTCTGGGACGAGTCCTTCTGATCGGGAGATCGTCGGATCTGGATCCCTCAGGCGACAGACAATGCCGCTGTACACATCAAACGTTGACAAATGGAGTGAGAATTTAGACGGCCCAGATCGCTTACTGTGATTTAAGGACTGGACGTTCTGTCCTTTCTGACGCCTCCAGATGTCCTCAGGATCCCATTGAAGGTTACTTGATCCTTCCTCGAAATGGCCGAATGTAATTTACTTGCATCTGGTTGTGGGAAAACTCAATTGTCAACCACTGACTAATTTCTCATGCTAGAATTGCTGACAGCCTCGAAAGCTACTCGCATTGAAATTGAAAGATGACAACTTGAGTGAGTGTCTCCTGCTGAGCGCGATTTTATGCGTGAAAACACTTTTTCTTGCAATAATGTGTCTACTCTTAGGCGCCCTTTTGAGACGGAATTGTCGCAATATTTTGAGAAATAATGACAAAACAAGCCAAGCTACTTGAATTTATTGCACTTCACTTATAAAACACTCAATTTGTTCATACAGAAAACTTCACGAACACTCCTTAATTCGACTATTACTTCTAAAAAGCAAACTTTTATTCGGTTTACTTCCTTTTCGAGATATTCAGTGCTTATCGAATAAGGTGGCTTGAGGTGAGTTGAGTCTCGACTTCTCCGCACCGTCTTCCATCAGCTGCCCCGACGGATCATGGCGAGCTTCTCACTCCAATACCCTCGGGTTCCACGGGTTCCAGACAGTCGTTGGGCAAAAGCACGAAAAAGGGTACCGGAAAGAATTCGTAAATTGGCTTCATTAGAAAAAGGAAAGAGAGAATCGACTTGTTCAGACACCGCAAAACAATGAAAGTATTATTTACGAAAAAGGCGCCTAAACACAAACTACAAGAAGGGTCGGCAAAATATTGACGACCCGACGGCTGCTGAAGGCAGTGGAGTCCGGTTGTCGGACAAGCAAATACTGTCGTATTCGAGTAGGGTCTCGAGACTACCAGTAAATCAGTGTAATGAGATTTATTCACCCTATTTCGTGTAAGGTGATGAAGGACTGGTTTACTGGAAGTCTCGAAACCCTACTCAAATACGACTATAAGTAACGTTGTCGATTGCTATAGAAACATACGTTTGCTTCATCGGCACTCATACCAAAAAAAGAATATGATATAGCAAAGAGGCCTGACCTTCCTTAAAATTCACTTATGCCCTGTGACTCAAGGGTACTCGTGGCAGTGTATCTGAGTGGTTAGCGGGTCAAGATTCCATCCTGCACTGTCGCGGTTCGAGTCCCGCTGAGGGTGTTGATAAGACCAGTTGATGCGAGGTCGAAACTGCAGTCCACTTCTGTCTGGATGAGATAAACTTTTGGGAAGCAAGGCTATGTGAAATTTAATGGAATCGTCAGCTCAACTCATATAATTGTGGGGAAATTCTACTACCAGTCCTTCATCACCTTACACGAAATAGGGTGAATACATCTCATCAAATAAATACTGTTAGGGGGACCTTCATTTCGAATGAAAGTACATGATGAATAGATTCGTTTGTCGTTCTCACCAGATGA